TTACATCTTTATTGGAGTATAATTGCTTTACAATGGTGTGCTAGTTTCTGCTTTATAACAAAGTGAATCGGTTATACATATACATATGTTCCCATATCTCTTCCCTCTTGTGTCTAGAAGCGCAGAGTCTTAACCACTGACCACCAGCGAAGTCCCAGTGGTCAGACTCTTAACATGGTATCCAAGCTGTTCAGGTCTGGCCACTGCTTACCTGCTTAGTTTCCCTTTCCTTCCACCTTATGATTTAGTGTTCTGAACTACTTGCAGTTCCTAGCTATTTCATTAGTTTTATTCATTCATGTCTTTGAGGGTTCTAGGCCCTTATATAGGAATTCTCCCCTCAAGAAACTGTTTACCTTTAAATTTTCTGCTCAGGTGTCCCATTTGTCCTCCAGTTAATGATTTTTCACTTTGAAAAAAGTGAATGTTAACAACTAAGTGTCCATCGATAGATGAATAGGTAATGAAAATGTGGTATATATACACAATTGAATATTATTCAGCCATACAAAAGAATGAAACCTTGCTATTTGTGACAACATGGATGTACCTGTTGGGCATTTTACTAAGTGAAATAAATCAGACAGAGAAAATATAAATACTGTATGATCTTACTTATATGTGCAATCTAAAAAAACCAAAAGTGAAAAAACAAAACCAAGTTCATAGATACTGAGAACAGACTGGAGGAGCAAAATGGGTGAAGGGGGTCAAAAGTTATAAACTTTCATTTATAAAAGAAATTAGTCACATGTATGTAATGTACAGCATGGCAACTATAGTTAATACTGTATTGTATATTTGAAAGTTGGTAAGAGAGTAGATCTTAAAAGATCTCATCACAAGAAGAAGTCTTTTTATAACTACGTGTGGTGACAGATGTTGACTAGACATTGTGGGGGTCATTTTGCAATATATATAAATACCGAATCATTATGTTGTATACCTGAAACTAATGTTATCCGTCAGTTATATCTCAATTTTAAAAAATGCCACCACCAATAGATACTACCAAATGGTAAAATGTAGTGTACTTGAAAAATTAAAAAAAAAATGTTCATGTTATTGCAATTAGCATGCTGTTTTACCATAATCTCTTTAATACTGTACATCTCTTACCCACCAGGCAATGAGTTCTTTTCCGTCCTCTGTATAGTGCTGGGACGTCATAAATGTTCAGTCTGTGTTAGTTGAATTTACTTATGTATGGGAGAATGATTTACTTTTCAGACTGACTTTAAGAACCTCTGTGTGTGTGTGTGTGTGTGTGTGTGTGTATACACATACACACATTTAATCCCCCTTTATAAGTGGTTTCTATTGAAGTGTTTAATTTAGTAGGTAGAGACTAAGGAGTTCAGGGTTTTTTGTTTGGTTTTTTTACAGAACTTGTTTTTAAAATGTACAATAAAACAAAATTTTACCAGGTTGTAATTCAGTGTGAGTTAAAGTGAATTTTTATATAAAATGATTTCCTTTTCTAAATAGAGACAAATCATTACACCTGTGTAGCCCTGACTATATTTCTTTTGTGACATTTTTTACTGGTATGAAAAATGCAAAGATGGTAAGTGTGTAGAAGATAACATATACTAGGTAAATTTGATTATAATCTTTTCTGGATGAGATTTGTATTTTTATTTTTGGAAATTGTATGCATAGAACTTTGGACAGCCAAGAAACTATAGAATAAGTGGATTTTTTTGGGGGGAGGGGGCTGTTGAGATTTCCTTTTTAAAAAAAAATTCTGTAGTTTGAAATATCAATTTACACTTTCTCTGCAAAACCAGTGTTTCACTCTGAATTTTCCCTGTCTGAAGTCGTTGGATTTATTATTCTGTCTATAAAATGGAGATTATACTACTTATTTTTTAGAGTTCATTGTTGTGAAGAATACATGCAAAGCACCTAGTAGAGTACCTTGCCATTTATGACATAGTAGCTATGTCATAAATGTTAGCACATCATATGTGGCATGGTGTTGAAACATTTCTTCCTCCTTGTATTTTAGCATAATGTTTTAAGAGTTTATTTGGTGGTTAGTTCTTGTTGATTATTATATTTGTGATGCTGTGGCTTATCATATGCCTTTTGTGATTTCTGGTAATGAGGGTGTAAAATTTTATAGATTGATGGTAGAAAAAACTTAGTTGTTATATTAATTTGTTATATGATTAGCTAATCAACCTCCAACTGGTTTGGAATATATAGCATATCATCAGACCAAACCATTAAATTCTTTCATTACACTCTTAACCATTTTCTTGTCACATAAATTGAAAATTCAAAATTGACCTATCTGACCTACTCAGAGTTTCTTGTTCTGTAGATTTTTTAGCTTGTTGAGTTTTTATTTTATTTTAGTTTTAAGTGAAAAGAGGCTTCTTTGGCCACTGCTATGTGGCTGTTCTCTTGATGATGAATATCAATTTTTTAAAGCAATGACACTGTGGTTTTTATTTTTATCTAGTTTCTAACCGTAGGCCCTATCGACAGTACTACGTGGAGGCTTTTGGAGATCCTTCTGAGAGAGCCTGGGTGGCTGGAAAAGCAATCGTCATGTTTGAAGGCAGACATCAATTTGAAGAGCTACCTGTCCTTAGGAGAAGAGGGAAGCAGAAAGAAAAAGGATATAGGCATAAGGTATTTAAAAAACAAAAAGTCTCTCAAATTATCTTCTTGGGGGTAGGTAGGGAGGGTTTACAGGATCGATCAAAGGAAGAAGTATTATGTTTTTGGAATGTAAGTTATTTCCTTTGGTAGTAGGATGTTGGTGAGAAAATTGGCAGAAAGCAAGTTTTTTTGCAGGGATGAGATGAGGCTAGCCTTCCAAATATTCATACTCAATTTTTTGAGAAATGATTTCAGTTAACTTCTGCCATGTCACTTAGATGTGATAGTAAAAAAAGTCATGACCAGTCATCTTTGGTTATATCTGATGTAAGAAGAAAATGATCATCAAAATGAAATATTCTACTTTTCACTCTCTGGATTAATTATTTCTCTTAAAAATGAGAAAGATAAGACTTTAAACATTTTTGTTTTGTTTGTTGTTTTGGTTTTTGTGTGCGGTTGTTAAGGCTTAAGCAGTTTCAAACCTGGTTATGTTTTAATAAAGAACGTGATGTTTTTGTTTCATTTGCTTGATGTGTTAAAGTTTTTGCTGTTTCTTTTGATACTCCTTTATAGTCTATTCTAGAAGAGGAAATGGTTCCTCTTAGATTTGTGTTTCAGACTTTTAGGCTATTTTATAAGAATCACAGTTAGGATAATTTTTAGTCAGTATGCAGTCCCTGCTATTTCCAACTGGAGTTCCTTCCTCTGTAAAACTAATGTAATAATATGTACCTTGTCAAACTGTTGTGAGGATTAGAAATAAATATTATATATGTCATACGTCTGATGCTCTGAAACAACTAGTGTGTGCTATTGTTAGGATAGAATAGAAGAGGATAACTTCATCCTTTCTAATACTTTGGGTGGTTGGTGGTGGGGGGGTGTCAGAGTGTTTGTGTCAAGCCTTTAAATATGTAGATTAACCAACCCCCTTTTCAGAGGAGTTCTCTAGGGCTTTCAGGTTCTGGAAAATTGATTTACTATGGTCATAGTTAGAAAGTCAATGGGTGTGTGTTTGTGTGTAAAGTAAACCAGATGATCAGTTTATTGCTTTAGAAGAGGAGGCTTCCTGTCTAGTGGCCTTAATTTTTACATGGTCAGCAGAACATGACCTTTCACAAGTATTAAAGTGTTTGTGAACACTAACTGATAGAACCTTGACTGACATTTATTGTATGAAGCCAGGGAGGGAAATAAGAGTCTTGAAAATTAGGTGTATTTCACAGAGCCTCAATGTCCTTATGCTGTGAGGAATCAAGAAAAGAGCATATGTAACTTGTCATACATCCAGGGTGTATTGATGTCTCTGGACTACATGTTTAAGCCCAGGACACTGCTTGGTTATAATCCAGATTTAAAAGAAAATTAATTAATTTTTTTTGCTGCGTTGGGTCTTTGTTGCTGTGCGCGGGCTTTCTCTAGTTGCGGCGAGCAGGGGCTCCTCTTTGTTGCGGTGTGTGGGCTTCTCATTGTGGTGGCTTCTTTTGTTGCAGAGCACAGGCTCTAGGTCCACGGGCTTCAGTAGTTGTGGCGTGCAGGCTTAGTTGTGGCGCATGGGCTTAGTTGCTCCGCGGCATGGGGGGTCTTCCAGGACCAGGGATCGAACCCCTGTCCCCTGCATTGGCAGGCAGATTCTTAACCACTGCACCACCAGGGAAGTCCCTATAACCCAGATTGTATGTAACATGTATAGAAGAATCTTGATTAGCCAAGGGCCTGGTGATAACCAGAGTTCCAAATTTCATTCCTTCTAGGGCAGGTCTGCCTTACTCATTTCTCCAGTCCTAGTTTTTCCACATGCATCTCCTTTCTTTAGCCTTTTGCTTTCTCTTTTATGTAACTGAGCAAGTGCTTGGCCTTCACAAGTCAGGAAGGAAATCTTTATTCTAAGGTTAGAGGGGTAAGTAGGAGTGGTCTGGTTATTCCTTGATTTAGTAGTACAATGTTGATTAGTAATGTAATGTTGTAGTCTAATTTATGGTGCACTCTTTTGTGCTTTTAATGGTAAGGGGAGTGGAGGGTTTATGGGATCAATCTTTCTCCAGTGATAGATCTTAGTGGTAGAAGTAGTGTTGAGGAATCCCCATTAGCTAAGTTCTGGGTGAACTGTGGGTGTTAACCACCTGGCAGTCCCATAAAAGAGCCTCGAAGAAGCACAACAAGGCTTGGAAAAGCTTCTGATTTGAGAGATGTTCACTGATCATCTGCCTGTTTCCCCTTCTATTTCTTAGACTAGTGATAATCTTTTTCTCTTTAAATTTAAGGTTCCTCAGAAAATTTTGAGTAAATGGGAAGCCAGTGTTGGTCTTGCTGAGCAGTATGATGTTCCCAAAGGGTCGAAGAACCGAAAATGTGTCACCAGTTCACTCAAGTTGGACAGTGAGGAGGATATGCCGTTTGAGGACTGTACAAATGACCCTGAATCAGAACATGACCTGTTGCTTAATGGCTGCTTGAAATCTCTGGCTTTTGACTCTGAACATTCTGCAGATGAGAAGGAAAAACCTTGTGCTAAGTCTCTAGCCAGAAAGAGCTCTGATAATCCAAAAAGGACTAGTGTGAAAAAGGGCCACATGCAATTTGAAGCACATAAGGAAGAACGGAGGGGAAAGATTCCAGAGAACCTTGGCCTAAACTTTATTTCTGGGGATGTATCTGATAAGCAGGCCTCTAATGAACTTTCCCGGATAGCAAACAGCCTCACAGGGCCCAGCTCTGCCCCAGGAAGTTTCCTATTTTCTTCTTGTGCAAAAAACACTGCAAAGAAAGAATTTGAGACTTCAAATTGTGACTCTTTACTGGGCTTGTCTGAGGGTGCCTTGCTCTCTAAACGTTCTGGGGAGAAGAAGAAACTCCAGCGAGGTCTGGTGTGTAGTTCAAAAGTGCAGCTCTGCTATATTGGAGCAGGTGATGAAGAAAAGCGAAGTGATTCCATTAGTATCTGTACCACTTCTGATGATGATGGAAGCAGTGATCTGGATCCCATAGATCATAGTTCAGAGTCTGATAACAGTGTCCTTGAAATTGCAGATGCTTTCGATAGAACAGAGAACATGTTACCTGTGCAGAAAAATGAAAAAGTAAAGTATTCTAGGTATCCTGCCACAAACACTAAGATAAAAGCAAAGCAGAAGACCCTCATTACTAACTCACACACAGACCACTTGATGGATTGTACCAAGACAGTAGAGCCTGGAACTGAGACGTCTCAGGTTAATCTCTCTGATCTTAAAGTATCAACTCTTGTCCGAAAACCCCAATCAGATTTTAGAAATGATGGTCTTTCTCCAAAATTTAACACACCATCAAGCATTTCCAGTGAGAACTCAATAATAAAAGGTGGGGCTACAAATCAAGCTCTCTTACATTCAAAAAGCAAACAGCCCAAGATCCGAAGTATCAAGTGCAAACATAAAGAAAACCCAGTTGTAGTAGAACCGCCTGTTGCAGATGAGGACTGCAGTTTGAAATGCTGCTCTTCTGATACCAAAGGCTCTCCTTTGGCCAGCATTTCCAAAAGTGGGAAAGTGGATGGGCTAAAACTACTGAGCAACATGCATGAGAAAACCAGGGATTCGAGTGACATAGAAACAGCAGTGGTGAAACACGTTCTGTCAGAGTTGAAAGAACTCTCTTATAGATCCTTAAGTGAAGATGTCAGTGACTCCGGAATGTCAAAGCCATCAAAACCATTACTTTTTTCTTCTGCCTCTGGTCAGAATCATATACCTATTGAACCAGACTACAAATTCAGTACATTACTAATGATGTTGAAAGATATGCATGATAGTAAGACCAAGGAGCAACGGTTAATGACTGCTCAGAACTTGGTCTCTTATCGGAGTCCTGGTCTTGGGGACTGTTCTACCAGTAGTCCTGTGGGGGCTTCTAAGGTCTTGGTTTCAGGAGGTTCCACTCACAATTCAGAAAAAAATGGAGATGGCACTCAGGATCCAGTCCGTCCTAGCCCTAGTGTGGGTGACTCTGCACTGCCTGGGGAGCTATCTACCTCCCTACCTGGCTTGGTGTCCGATAAAAGAGACCTCCCTGCTTCTGGCAAAAATCGTTCAAACTGTATTACTAGGCGCAACTGTGGTCGATCAAAGCCATCCAAATTACGAGATGGTTTTTCAACCCAGATGGGAAAGAACACAGTGAACCGTAAAGCCTTAAAGACAGAGCGCAAAAGAAAACTGAACCAGCTTCCAGCTGTGACTCTTGAGGCTGCACTGCAGGGAGACAGAGAGAGTAGGGGTTCAGAGAATAGCTCCTCCAGAGGTGAGGCAGAAGACCCTGGTAAAGAAGAACCCCTTCAATTAATGGGCCATTTAACAAGTGAAGATGGTACCCATTTTTCCAGTGTTAATTTTGATAATAAAGTCAACCAGTCTGACCCTGATAAAGTTCCTGAAAAAGACCCCTCTTTTGAAAACAGAAAAGGGACAGAGCTGGAGTCTGAAATGATTAGTGAGAATGATGAACCCACTAGTGTAAATCAAGTGGTGCCTAAAAAGCGGTGGCAGCGTTTAAACCAAAGGCGCACTAAACCTCGTAAGCGCACTAACAGATTTAGGGAGAAAGAAAACTCTGAGGGTGCCTTTGGGGTCTTGCTTCCTGCCGACCCTGTAAAGAAGGGAGATGAGTTCCCAGAACAGAGACCTCCTCCTTCGACGAACATACTAGAGGATGCACTGACAGATCCAAATCATGCCGACTGCTTAGATTCAGCTGGGCCACGGTTGAAAGTTTGTGATAAATCCAGTGCCAGCAATGAAGAGGTGGAAAAGGAGCCAGGAATTCCCAGTTTGACCCCTCAGCCTGAGCTCCCTGAACCAGGTAAGGACTCCTGACTGTGAAAGAAAGGGACTAGAGGAAGCGATGATAATGATACCCTTCTGAAGTTGGTCTGTTTTCATGGAAGGCCTAAGTGTAAGTTGGGAGGGAAGGATTATCACTTGAAGTGAAGAAAGGACTTTATGTTGAAGGATCTGAATTTTGAGGACCAGGTTTCCATATACTTTCAGAAATTGTTTTACCAAGAAGCTCTTTTTTCTTTTGCTTTTAGTAAGCCTCAAGAACATTTTGTTCCTGCTCCCCATTTCCTACCTTTTTAAATCTGTGAACTTTTGGGGACTCAATTTGGTATTGTAAGTATTTGAGAGGCTCTGAGCCTAAGACTAAAATCTAGTTAGTTTACAGAAAGCAAATAGATTTTATTGAACGTCAGGCTGTCTTGGACTACAACTTAAGGAAGGTCCTCCTGTTACGTAGACAAAGGGGACGTGCTTTTGAAAAAATTTAAGTGTTCTGTAGTACTTATTTGAAGGCCTTAGATGTCTTGCATCCCTTCTGGAATGAGGTTTGAGAATAAATTTTTTAAAATCTGAAGTACCAGGGTATCCTTCCTTAGCAGCAGAGGGAAAACAGCAGGAGTCTTTCAAAATATAATATTATACAATATTGTTATTGAGGATAAAACTGCCTTTCCTTAAACATAAGTTTTCAATGTTGTTTACCATAGTAGATTCTAACAGCTTTATTGAAACATAATTCACTGACCATAAAATTCACCATTGAAAGTTTATACTTCAGTGGTTTTTTAGTATACTCAGAGACTTGTACATCCATAAACATGATTAATTTTGGGACATTTGCATCACCCCAGAAAGAAACCTTGTACCCTTTATCAATTTCCCTTCATTTCTCCCCAATCTGTAGATTTGCCTGTTCTGTACATTTCATGTAAATGGAATCATACAATATGTGGTACTTTGTTTTTTTTACTTAGCATGTGTATCAATGCTTTATTTTTATTGTGTTAAAAAACACATGAATTCACCCTCTGAACAAGTTTAAAGTGTATATTACAGTATTAACTGTATGCACATTGTTGTATAACACCGTTTATTGAAGAGACTGTCTTTTCCACATTGTATACTCTTAGCACCCTTGTCAAAGATAATTTGACCATACATGTAAGGGTTTGTTTCTGGGCCCTCTGTTTTGTTCCATTATCTATATGTTTGTCTTCATGGTAATATATATATTTTTTGTTTTTAATTACACTTATTTATTTATTTATTTAATATTTTTGGCTGTTGGGTCTTTGTTGCTGCACGTAGGCTTTTCTCTAGTTGTGGCGAGCAGGGGCTACTCTTCGTTGCAGTGCATGGCCTTCTCATTGGGTGGCTTCTCTTGTTGCAGAGCACGGGCTCTAGGCATGTAGGCTTCAGTAGTTGTGGCACTTGGGCTCAGTAGTTGTGGCTCGCAGGCTCTAGAGCGCAGGCTCAGTAGTTGTGGCGCACGGGCTTAGTTGCTCCACGGCATGTGGGATCTTCCCAGACCAGGGCTCGAACCTGTGTCCCCTGCATTGGCAGGTGGATTCTTAACCACTGCGCCACCAGGGAAGTCCTATCATATTGTTTTGATTACTGTAGCTTTGTAACATGTTTTGAAAACACAGTGTGTGAGTCCTCCATCTTTGTTCTTTGTCAAGATTATTTTGACTATTTGGGGTCCTTTGAGATTTCATGTGAATTTTAGGATGTCTTTTTTCTGTTTCTGCAAAAAATGCCATTGGGATTTTGATAGAGCAGTGAATCTGAAGATTGCTTGAGTAGTATGGACATTTTGTTAATGTTAAGTCTTTGAATCTATGAACACAGGATGTCTTTCCATTTATTTGTGTTTTTAATTTCTTTCAGCAATGTTTTATAGTTTAAGTGCCCAACTCTTTCACTTCCTTGGTTAAGTTTATTCCTAAGTGTTTTTATTCTTTTTTATGCTATTATAAGTGGGATTGTTTTCTTAATTTCCTTTTTGAATTGTTCATTATTAGTGTGTAGAAACAACTGATTTTTAAAATTTATTTATTTATTTATTTATTTATTTATGGCTGTGTTGGGTCTCCATTGCTGTGCGTGGGCTGTCTCTAGTTGTGGTGAGCAGGGGCCACTCTTCGTTGAGGTACGCGGGCTTCTCATTGTGCTGGTTTCTCTTGTTGTGGAGCATGGGCTCTAGGTGCATGGGCTTCAGTAGTTGTGACATGTGGGCTCAGTAGTTGTGGCTCATGGGCTCTAGAGTACATGCTCAGTAGTTGGGGTGGATGGGCTTAGTTGCTCCGTGGCATGTGGAATCTTTCCAGACCAGGGCTCAAACCTGTGTCCCCTGCATTGGCAGGCAGATTTTTAACCACTGTGGAAGTCCCACAGGTGATTTTTTTTTTTCTTTCTT